CGTTCACAGGGTCTGTAATCATACTGAAGTCAAAATCAAACTTTTGCACATTTGGCAAGGGAGGTTTTTGTCTTCCCTAAGCTCACATTAGGACACGTGTACCTCCCTAAACAGACTCTTCACTTGGCACTGTCTCTGACCGCACACAAGCAGACAGGTCCCCCACCCCCCCACACACTTCCTATGCACTTGGACACGTGCTTGGTGTCAGAAGCAAAAAAACCTTTCAGGGCTTTGCTCTCCTGCCTCACGGGGTCAGTGAAAAACAATGGGAGTACTTGAAACAAGAGTTATTTTAGAAAGATCTCTTTCCCCATAGATCTCCTACTTGTCTCCTCCTCCCAGATGCAGAGTCCCTGATGTCTCTACCATCACTATCTCTGCTCAGGTTCTGTTAGCTGCTTTCTGCTCTGGGGTAAGGGCTTGAGTCCCTGCTTCTGTAAGGCCAAATTCTGCCTCAGCATCTCCCAGGCTGCCATTGCAGCTACTGCAGGAACTTAACCCTGCTCTCTTCATTGCAGGGATGATTTCAAAGCCTCTACTGCTTTCTCTGTGCAGCAGCTTTCTCCTGGGTCCTGGGTCCTGGGCCAACTCTGCCCCAGTTCAGGCCCTACACTAAGAGCGCCATGCTCTTCTCCTGAAGAGGATGGGCAGCCTGGCCTCCTCTGTGCTTCTGCACTCTTGGATGGGGTGATGGAGATGTCTGTTTGGTGAATGCTCTTACCTTCATGTCTTGGAGCTCATCCTCCTGGGACAACATTTTGGTGGCCTGGTTGGGGAACTCTCCACTTGGCTCCATGGGCCTCTCTTTCCTCTGTGGCTTGTAGCAGTTCATGGAGCAGTTCATGGGCATCTGAAGATTTCTTACTGGAGAGGTTTTAAAGTGAGATGCAAAGCTCCACACTGTGAGTCTAAAAGTAATTAGCCCTTTACCCCAGCAGAGAAGTCTACAAGTCACTGCTTAGCTTGTACCCCAACGTACCATGGGAAATACTGCAGAGAAATTAAGGTGATTTGGAGTCCCAGGACACATAACCACTTCTCAGATGGGGCCATTTCTGGGATCAAAAGCCTCTCAATTGCTTGTGGCACAGAGGGAAGTGAGACAGAAAGAATAAATGGCCAGTCCTAGTTGATTATATGAAAATACATTTGCAATGGTTTCAGAATGATTGTGTGCTAAGATTGCCTCTAAGGGCCATGACAGGAAAGCATGCAAGTGAGGTGTCTGGAAGGTTCTTACATTCAGTTCTCATTGTCTGAGACAAAGATAGTATACTGTACTGGCAGCAAGACTGTCCAAGGGTCATCATGGGGGAAGAGTAAGAAGATACCTTTGCAAGCATGAAGACCAGAATGCACATCCTAGATACTCAGTGGGGTTTCTGTTCCACGTACTCAACAAAGTAATCCTAAGAGTCCAGCCTGCTCCTTACCTCCTTGGGATTTCCTCTTCACACACATCCAAATGCAAACAATGGCTATGATCATGAGTCCCGGGGGATGAATATGAATACTTCCTTATATTGAAACTTGGTGGTTGGTGGAAGCTGGGTGATATTTATGGAAGTTGGAAGCTGGGTGATATTTACAGTTGGTGGAAGCTGGGTGATATCTGGGGCCCTTGATGTTGATCCTTAAAAAAAATCAGGAAAATTATGGATAAAGCTAAAAACACACCTCCATCAACACCTTCTCTCCCCAGGCAGTCCAAGGAACTCATGTGTAACAACCATTTTACACTTCCTGAATAGAGAGGGGAGGAGAGTTGTGTGTACGATGTCCTTGCAGAGTTTATTTCATCACTGAAGAATCAAATGTCTATCAAACCATCAAACAATGTGACATATTTACTGTGGGTAGAACTTTCTAGATGTTGGCACAAGTGATGGAGTTTAATTGTGTCAGAGAAAGATAGTGAGACCTTTCAGAGTGATGTGAAGCTGGTGCAAGGGCAGCTGTAAGTGAGGCAGAAAGGGCTGGAAGTTTACAGTGATGCAGACAGACTTGGGGCCCCTTAGCAGGCCATGTAGTGCTGGGATATCAGTTACTAGAGAATGAGAAACATTGGGAGGTGAGATGGGGAACAGAGATTCTCGTGGTCATCACTGGATCCCCAGACAGGCACACTACCAAAAAATCACTCTCTTAGTCTATCAAATTTGATGGAGTTGCCTTCTGTTAATCTAAGTAATACCAACTTGTCCTTTCCCAGGGGAGCTTTAAGAGTTCCTTGAGCCAGTGACAGAAATTTTTCAGGAGGTTTTTCAGATACTTGGTTAGTTCCTCATCATTCTTCCATTCATTCATGATATCTCCAGCTTCAAGACTAATCAATGTCCAGCTCATATTCATTGTGTTCAAGAGCATGCAGCACTTTCCACTGATGTTAAATTGCCAAGAGGCACCAACGATTTGTCCTTGTTCATAATTAGAAAGCATGATGGCCTGTAAAGTGGGGTGACCTGCAAACCACATACAAAGCCATCATTTTTCACTTTTGATAGATCCATCACCTCCTCAAAGGTCAAGACTCTTCCCACTGGTTTTTGAGCCAGCATCATTTCCACATGACTTGGTTACCCATTGGGTACCATATGCTTCCCAGGTTGGGCCAAGGCTCAGTTTTTTTTCACACAGATACAACCATCATCTCATTCCCATATGTGCTCTGCCCTTCCTCTCTCTTGCCACCTGTCTCTGCCTCTGAACTCCATCCTCCACTTACCATGGATCTTGGTCATCCTCTGTTTGGTTTCAGCCAGCTTCTTCCTGAATTCATGCCCCAAATTCTCCAGCTCTTGCACAATATCTGTCCACATTTCAGTGGTATGAACCACCTTTCCCAGGTCACCCAAAGGCGTGGCTTTGTTGTCATCATACTGAAGGAAAGATTCTCTATCCAGTGAGCACTGTCCTTCATAACAGGGCTCTCCAGGTGTGGTATGAGTCTTGACCGTGACGTTGCAACTAAGAGAGTGTGTGTCTGTGAGAGAAACATGCAGGTGAGGTCCAAAGTGGGAGCAGAACGCCACAGGACTCATGGTTCTGAGACACCCAGAATCCCTCTGAAGGGCAAAAGGGCAGGAAAAGAAGCCTCCACTCAAGATGTCCATCATTATCTGGATCCTTATTCTGTGCCATCTTTGACTGTCTTAATTTGAGAAGACTCTTCAGATGCACACGGTGTCAACAGGAGGATTTATCTCATAAGCACTTCTAGTGACTTTTATCAAGTGTTGAGGAATAAAATATATCAGATAGTATCTGTTCCTGGCACTGAAAATCTACTGTACACAAGGAAAAGGAGGCATCATAGAACACGTGGTAAATTCCACATGGAGGCTGGGAGTTCAGGAAAAGCCTCCTGGAGAAATGCTGCAACTTGGCCTGGGAAGGGGAGCTGTCACCTGTGAGCACAGTGCTCACCTGAGTTCCCCCTGGGTCCTTCACACAACAACATTGGACTTCAGATCTCAGATTCTCTCATGTTAAACCACACCCCTAACTCATCTCTGTCTGTGATCTGCTTGAAGGCCCGATCTCTCTCCCCTTCCTCAGGTAGTTGTTTCCAGCACACTTACGGCCCTGGTCTCCCAGACTTTCCCTAACAGCAACAGAAGACACAATGTCCTAGAGCTGTTCTGTTCAGAAGACTGCACAAACAGGCAGGAAGTCCTAGTGAGGATGCACACATACACTCTCCTGTGTGCATGTGAGCCTGAAACCTAAAATTAATAATAAGTTTTAAAGGTGCTTTTAACAAGTTTGCAATACAATTACACTAAAAAATGAAAGAGATGTTAAAAAAAAAAAACACTTTCACTCCGACCCCACACCCAAAACGTCTGCTCTGAGGTGGACTGCTGCAGGTTTGGGGACCTCCTTTCCTGTCCGCTTCAACAGCTTCCTCTTCCCTTCTCCTCTCTGCCTCTTCCACCACCTGTTTTCTTCCTCTCTCACAGTTTCCCCTTCCTGCCACTCCTAAGACTTGAATTTGTCCTAGAATGGCTGGGATCCTTACTCATTCAGTACACCTCACTGAAACATTTCCTGGGCATAAACACGAGCCCTTTGGAGCAGAGAACAGGCTTTGTGGTTGTGAACTAAAGTCACAAACTGGGTACTCTAGTGGATCAGACAGAGGAAGCATCCGTTATCCATAAGAAAAATCGACTTAGAAGTTTGAAGAAAGGAAACTGTTTTGCTAAAGCAGGAACAGAGAATTATGAAGGTGATTTAAAGAAAGCATCCCTGATTTAACTTCTAAATAAGCACGAATAAAAAATAACAGCAACAACAATAATGATAAATGTCTTAGAAGTATTTATACACAGACCTCCAGGTTTTAGTTAGAAAAATATTTTTTATAACCTCCTAAAAGTGTGTCATTGTAGTATTGATTAGACAAGGTGTCTAAGAGGCTTGGGACTCACAAGTAGGCTAGACAGCCTTGCCACTGACCCCAGGGTTCCCCTGCCTCTGCCTTCTTAGTACCAACAATAAAAGCACGCAGCACCATGCCTGGCTCTATTATAGGAGTCCTAGGGATCAAACCTGAGTCCCCATGGTTGTGAGGCAGGTCCACACTGGTGACTTGGTTAGGCTTCAGCTGATCCCAGTGGTGCTGAGGGCGTCACTAGCTACCCCCTCTGCTACCCTGATCTCTTCATTCATGCAGCCCCTTCCCGGCCTCCCGCCGTGACTTTCCCCTAACTTTGTCAATCCACTGAAGAGAATCAGGTAGGGACCTAAGTCCTGTGAGGAGACTGTGACCTGACTCAGTAGTCCGATGCCCCCCTCCCCCAGTTAAATCCCAATAACTCACCAGCAGGCAGTGTAGACCCCAGACAGCTCAGTAGAACCCAAAGCCTCAGATTCTGGGAAAGATTGCACCTGGGGGCTCCAGTCTTTGTCATGGTTCCTTCCTGAGACCAGGCTACCAAGAGGCATGACTGGAGCTGCTGAGAGAATCGGAGAGTCCTCAATACAGCCTTGCAGAGGACCCTGTGCAGAGATTCCCAAAACCTGGACCCTTGGGGTGAGAATTTAATCCTTTCCATGTTCCAGCCATGCAGGTTCCTAGTTTCCATCTTTTCCTTCATCTCTCCTGGAGTCCCTTAGGGCCCATGCAGCTCTGTCCTCCCTCCCTGCACCCTGTGATTTCTGTCAAGCTCAGATGCAAGCAGCCTGGACTTTGAAAGGTGAAGGGTGGGGGCTGAGGCTCTGGTCTCCTAGTGGTTTCCCCTTTCTTTGCTGTCTCCCCAGCCCGCTGGGCTTGTTCCCCTGCTCGCCAGCTCCCTCCCACTCACTGGGCTTGCCTCACTGAGGCCCTGCTCTCCTAGCTTGCCCCTCTGGCCTTGCTGGCTCCTTGCTGGTCGGTTTGCTGGAGTGAGTGCTGCTGCCTAGCTGGCCTTGAGGCTGCATTGCTCTATCCAAATCTGCCAGACTCTTCCCTCTGCTCCCACATACCCGAGATCCGCCGCCTCCCCCCCCCCCCCATCCCCTGGCTTCGCACCGCCCACCTTGGCCACTCTTGCCCAGCTGCCTTCTTCAATCTCGCCTGGCGGGGCGGCCGCCCCTCTCCGCAGCGCTAAGCCTGGGTCGCCCGCGCTAGTTCTGCTTTCACCCGGATCGGCCCTGCTGGTCCTGCCGCTATCCTCCCCCCCCCCCGCCCCCGCTGCCACCCGGGCTCCCCTCACTCGCACTTTGGCCACCCAGAACAGCCTTGCTCCACCCGGCTGGATCCCGATTGTCTTGCTGCCACCATGCTTGCCTTGCTGATCACACTCGCTCCACCTCGCTCGCTCAGCTGTTGCCTCACAACTTGCTCGCCCCGCTGCCCCCTGGCTCGCCCCGTGGCCGCCCCGCTGCCTTCCATCTCGCCCAGCTGTCTTCTTGTACCTATCTCGCCCGGCTTCCGCCCCTCTCCGAGGCGCTCAGCCCGGGTCACCCGCCCTTGTCCAGCTTCCACCGGGTCTTGCTGCCATCCCGGATTGGCCTTGCTCGTCCCGCCGCTATCCCTGCCCCCTCGACCGCTCCTCTACCTCCCCTGGCTCCACTCGCTCGCGCCACTCCCCTTGCTCGCCCCCCACAGCCGTGCTCCGCCCCGCTAGTCCTGCTGCTACCCGCTCCCCGAGCTCGCCCCCCATAGCCGCGCTCAGCCCGGCTCTCCGAGCTCGCACCGCGCCCCGAGCTCGTACCGCAACCCGAGCTCGCAACCCGCCCCGTGCTCGCACCGCGCGCCGAGCTCGCACCGCGCCCCGAGCTCGTACCGCAACCCGAGCTCGCATCGCGCCCCCAGCTGGCACCGCTCCCCTCTCACTCACCCGCTCTGCCTTCCTCGCTCCGTTGCAGCCTTGCACAGCTCACTCGCTCCGCTGCCTCCCTTCCGCCCCCTGGCTCTCTCCGTAGCTGTTTCGTTGGGCAGCGTTCTGTCCACCTCCGCCGCACTGAGCCCGCTGCCTCCTCTGGCGGCCTGGCTCAACGTGCTCTGGCAGAGTAGCTGGGCTCGGTGCACAACTGGAGGCAGAGCTGGGAGCTGCCTCTCAATGTGCTCTGGAGGCGGTGCTGGGCGTGGCTGCAACTGGCTCTGGTAAAGCGGAGCTGGTGCTGGGCAGAGGCGGTGCTGGGCGTGGCGGCAACTGGCTCTAGTAAAACGGTGCTGTTGATGGGTGTGGCGTGTCAGCAACTGGCTCTGGTAAAGCAGAGCTGGTGCTGGGTGTGGCGGCAACTGGCTCTGGTATGTGTGTCCGTCCGTCCGTCCGTCGCCCCTCCCTCCGCTCAACTAGTTCTGGTGCCATTTGAGGGGGTTCAGCTCCCATTTTTTAAAGGGTTCCTATGAAGAGGAAAGAAGAATGAGAAACTTTAAGATTGAAAGATAGCAAAGAGGAGAAAGATAGAAACACAGGATAGCTCCGGAAGGACCTGGGTTAATACCCAGTGATCCCTTTCTCCTCTTCAAAAGGACTTTTTTTTGGGGGTGGGGGCGTCGGTTTCGAGACAGGGTTTCTCTGTGTAGCTTTGCGCCTGTCCTGGAACTCGCTTTGGAGACCAGGCTGGCCTCGAACTCACAGAGATCCGCCTGCCTCTGCCTCCCGAGTGCTGGGATTAAAGGCGTGCGCCACCACCGCCCGGCCAAAAGGACTTTTTATAACAATACCAATTGGCAGGGCAAAAGACCTCCCCCTTGCTGGAGCAAAGCAAACCACACAGCCAAATGTGGACCCTTCCAAACACCTGGTAACCACGCCAGTGGTCACATCATCCCCTTATGCAGCCCTGCTGGGTAAAGCAAGCTCAGATTCTCAGACCCTGAGGAAGTTCTCACTAGGAAACCCCCGTGGGTCTCTACAATCCTACTTAGCCAAGCTCCTCCTGATGTTCTCCCGGTCCACAGGGGCCACTCAGCTCCCCTTGCACACCCTGCTCCCCTCCATCAGCGGTACTCCACCCTGCCTTGCCTCTTTAGCCCTGCTGCCTCCTTGCACAACTTGCTCATCCCGCTGCCCCCCTGCTGCCCCCTGGCCTGCCCTATGGCTGCTCCATTGGACAGTGCTCCATCGTGCTCAGCTGCACTGGGACCTACTGCCTCCTATCTCTCCTGGATGGCGCCCCTCTCAGCCTCAGGAAGATGTAATGGAATCCAGCTAATATCACAAAAGCTACTACTTGGAAAAGTCAAGAATATTTTTGAAGGTCAAGCCTTAAGGAGTCTTGGTGCTATTTTAGCTTTTGTATATATTAACCGGTACCTGCAATGATTTTCTTGCATGCTATATATGCTTCCAAGAAATCCTAACAGTATTTATCTGAAATACTCCTCAAGCATCCTAGACCATAATGGCTAACAGTCTCCTGACTTAAGGTAAACACCCTTCTGGAGACACTGCCTAGGGGACAGCTGGGTGCATGGCTTTATTTCTTGTGCCAATGAAGCTCAGACCATCCTTCCTCTCACAGGCCAAGTGGCATTCAAGGGCATTTAACTCAGAACAAAAGGGTTTTATGCATACCAGGTGCAGTGAAGGATTAAGGCAGAACTAGCATCTAGCAGAGTTGCCCCACTGACCAGGAAGTGGCAAGGCAGAGTTTTGGCAGATTGTAGATGGATTGGATCAGGTGAGGAGGGTAGGAGAAGAAGGAACATAATGGATGGAGGATCGGAGGAGGATGAGGTCGAAAGCAAAATAGCTCAGGACAAGAGAGGACAGAAAGAGAAGGGACAGAGAGGAGCTGAGTGTGAGAACAGAACTGAAGCTGTGTAGAGAGAACTTTGTTTTAGAGGAATAAAGTGGACAGACGTAAGAGCATGGTGTACGTAGATTATTTTCCCACAGAATACCCCTGCCATCAATAGTGTCTCTTCTAGGCCCTTGGGAAGGAAACTAAAAGGTTGGACCTCAAAAGTTTCCAAAACTCACTGGTGGGAGATCAGCTGCCACCCCTGCCTCACTGCCACCCTGCTGCCACCCAGCTGTTGCCCAGCTCCCCGTGGCTGCCCCATTCATTCGCCCTCTGCTGAGACCCTGCAATACCACAGAGTTGGCCTAGTTGGCCCTGATAGCCCAGTGCTGCCACCCCATCTCCCCTCACTTGCACCCCTGCCCCCCTGCTGTGGCACTGCTTGCCCAGTGGCCACCCACTTGGCCATGCTTGTCAGGGTGCAGAGCTGCTGCTGCCCCTCTAGCCCTGCTTGCTGCACACACACACACACACACACACACACACACACACACACACATCTGCAGAGAGCTTCCTCCCCTTCTTCCCAGTTTCCTGTAGGCTCCAGCTTTTCTTCCCAGTGCGACTTGAACTGCTCAAGCCAGGACCTGCAGTTTTCCCCCTGTGAGGTCATTTTTAAGAAGTTGGTTACATCCCTGTTTTTCTCCCACATTCCTTTCATCCATCTGGATCCAGGATTAACTTCAGTCCATTGTCCAGTGTTTGAGTCAACGTAAAACATTTTTGTGTCCATTGAGGTCAAAGTCCCAGGATCCATTGAACTCTCCATCTACTTCATGCCCACAATATATTCTAGCCTTCAGAGTGAGGGGCTCTGTACCCATTGGAAAGAGATCAGCCTCTGGCCTCCATGAATCCTGTCTGCCTACCTCCCTCCATTACCATCCTCTACCCTTGCTCTACCCTTACCATTTTAGCTTTGCTGCTGGACCTCGTAGTTGGGACTACCATAATTCATTTCCCCCACATGAAAACAATGAATGTCCCTAACCTGTCAGAAATTCTCTTCTTTCCTTCAAGGGGCCATCTAATATGTTCTTTATTTAATTTGTAGCAGTGGGGATTGAACCCAGGGCCTCATGCATGCTAGGCAAGCACTCTTCCACTGAGCTGCACATCCCCAGCACTATGGTCCATTTGAAACTTACCTCTGATTGTATCATTCTCCTGCTTCATGTAAACCACTTGCTGTTTGAACAGGTCAACTCCATCTTTCAGAGGATCAACCTGTGGTCCCCAACTCTTTGTGGCATTCAGTGTGTTCCCCAGAACACCATTGGCATGGCAGTTGTTACTGTCACAGTAAATAAAAGTCTCTTCGTTCAGTTGGCCTTGGACTTGGTGCCACCACGGTCCAGACTCTGACTTGTCAACAGTGAATCTGTAGCAAAGAGAAGCAGCGTCTGTGAAGGAAACATGCAGTGAGGTCAGGGATGCAGAGCGGGGCTCAGAGACAGTCTCTGCCTGTGGAACAAGAGAGTCCTCTGGAAGGGGGTCTTTTTAAAGAAAGGAAAGAAAGAATGTAAGAAAGAAACAACAAAGTCCCTGGCTGAGGTTCCACTGTGCTGAGTGAAGCATAGACAATTTCTCTTGCTTAAAGAAGCAGGTCAAGGTGTGGCCAACCCCTGCTCTCCATCAGGATAATTCTTTTACCTGTTATCACATGATCTTGTCAGGGGTAGGGCCTGTCCGTGATGGCAGGAAAAGTTCAAGACTTCTTTTTTTAGATCTGTTCATTCTGGAGAGTCTCCAGAAGCTGCCCATGTAGACTGTGTGGAGACAGGATGGTGCATGAGGCTAGTAAGGCAGAGTGGAGCAGGGTGAGGATGGAGCAGAAGTTTCATGGAGACAGTTTCTACTGATCTGTACTCTCAGATCATAGACTTGAACATCTTTTCTCGTTACAATTAACTTTCAGTTTGATACAGCCTAGAGTCACCTAGGAAGGGAGTGTCTACTGAGGAACTGTTTTGACTGTTAATGATGTAGGAATGTCCAGACTGTGGGCATTATCATTCCCTGGGCAGGTAGTCTCTGGCTGTATAAGAAATCTAACTATAAATGAGATAGTGATCCAGAAAGCAAGTAGCATCCTCCATGGTTCCTGCTATGCCTCTCTGGCTTGGAATCAAGTTCCTTTGTTATAGATAATGCTGTGTGGAATATCAAGTCAGCCTGCCTCTGAGTACCTGCCCTGGCTTCCCCTCAGTGACAGACTATGGCTTAGAAGTAGAAGTCCAATAAACTACTTTCTACCTTAAGTTGCTTTTGGTAAGTGTTTTATCACAGCAACAGATTGAAACTAGAACAACACATGCCAGATCCCTGGACATACTGCAGTGCTCCAGGGATGGCTTCCTGGAACTGGTCAGAGGATAGTCTACACTATGGGACAAAGAAAATCTAGGCAGGTTAAATCTGTTAGTAGAAGAGAGGTGTGCTATTGGATGTTCTGTATGCTCTGAATGTGTTGCTCTGATTGGTTAATAAATAAAGTGCCAATTGGCCAGTAGCCAGGCAGGAAGTATAGGCAGGACAAAGAGAGAGGAGAATTCTGGGAAGTGGAAGGCTAAGTGAGAGAGACTGCCGCCACCCACCACATGAGAAGCAGATGTTAAGATACCAGTAAGCCATGAGTCATGTGGCAACTTACTAGATGAATAGAACTGGGTTAATTTAAGATATAAGAACTAGATAGCAAGAAGCCTGCCATGGCCATGCAGTTTATAAGTAATATAATTCTCTGTGTGTTTACTTGGGTCCAAGTGGCTGAAGGACTGGTGGGTGAGAGAGATTTGTCCTGACCTCAGACCTGAGTGGAACTAGAGAAAACTCTAGCTACAGTGGTGATCATAAGTTTCAGAGAAGAGAACTGGGCCCATCTTGCTGCAGTCTGTATTGGGTGGGCTAGCCAAGGCAGTGCTGGAGAGTTTCCCAGGGTGGTGAGGATGACTGAAAGCTGGCAGGCTGCCCAACTCAGCTACCACCCAGGCCCAGAACCAGGGCCCACCCCAACATCCACCAAATCTATGAACTGTTGGGACTTGTGAAGGGGATGAACCTAGAGATCCAAAACAGCAGTATCTCTATGACACCGGACAACAACAGGACATACAGGAGGAGCCCCAGAGAGTCCATTATCCATAAGTAATAGAAGCCAGAGGCCTTGAACCAGACCAAGGACTCATAGCAATGAACACTCACAAGTAAAGATGGATGGACTAAAGGGTAAACTGTGAGACTCAGTGGCCACACAACTTCCCCAACTAGATTATTCTCTCTCTCCCCTTCTCTCTTGTTTTGTTGTCATTGTTGTTGTCCCTTTGTTGTTTGGGTTGTTTTTTTTAAAAAAAAAAAATTTGTTCTGTTTTGGTGGGCAGAGAGAGGAAGCTAGGGCACAGGGAGACAGGATTCAATGTGAAATCTGTAAAGAATCAATAAAAGTTTTTTTTTAAAAAAAAAAAAAAAGTTGAGAGCGAGGAGAGGCCTGTGGGTGGGTTGCAGGGTCTGCTCTGGCCGTGGCCAGGTGTCATTTCCAGGAGCATCCCTGAGATTCATCATGCTCTGAGCTCAGAGCTCTGTGCCCTTTGCCACGCCCCTGGGCAAGTGGCCAGGGCCCAGCGGGGCAGGAGCTCCAGGAGGCTGCGGCCCTGGCCTACAGCTGCCCATTGGGCTTGGGTGGGGTGCAGGCTGCACGCTCCACAACTGTTGAGTTGGCAATGGTGGGGAAGGCAGCAGTGGGGCCAGAGAGCCAAGCAGGGTGTGGAAGGCAAGGCACACCGCCAGGGACAACAAGGCATTCACCAAAAAGCTAATCCAGCGGGGTGGAGCAGCTGAAGGAGTGTAAGCAGCTGAAGGAGAACCAAGTGCGGACCTGGTAGGAGAAGGCTAAGGACATTTTACAAAAGAATCAAATGAACAAGAGGTTAGCTGTCCTGTTACTGTATGTGGAGATGTACATGGCCAATTCCATGACCTTATGAAACTCTTCAGAATTGGTGGAAAATCACCAGACACAAACTATCTATTATTCATGGGCGACTACCTAGACAGAAGTTATTATTCTGTGGAGACTGTGACTCTTTTTGTAGCATTAAAGGTGTGCTATCCAGAGCATATTACAATACTGTGAGGAAATCATGAAAGCTGACAGATCACCCAAGTGTATGGCTTTTACGATGAATTTCTACTAAAGTATGGAAATGACAACGTCTGGAAATACTTTACAGATCTCTTTGACCATCTTCCACTGACAGCTTTAGTAGATGGACAGATATTCTGCCTCCATGGTGGCCTCTCTCCATCCATAGATGCACTGGATCATATAAGAGCCCTGGATCGTTTACAACAAGTTCCACATGAGGGCCAAATGTGTGATCTCTTATGGTCAGATCCAGATGACCATGGCAGAAGGGGTATTTCACCACATGGTGCTGGCTACACCTCTGGACAAGGTATTTCTGAAACATTTAACCATGCCAACTTTCTCACACTGGTGTCTCGTGCTCACCAGCTTGTAAAGGAAGGTTATTATTGGTGCCAAAATTGTAATGTGGTTACCATTTTTAGTGCACCCAATTACTGCAACCGCTGTGGAAACCAGGCTGCTACCATAGAATTAGCTGATATTTTAAAACATTCTTTTCTTCAGTTTGACCCAGCACCTCATCTTGGAGAGCCTCATGTGACCCGGCATACCCCAGACTACTTCCTATAACTTCCTCCCCAGGACCTTTCTTTGTATGTGGAAGTACAACTGGCTTTTTAAAATATATATTATATATTTAAAAACAACAGTTATCTATGTGTTTCTGTAACACGAATATTTTAACTGTGATACACATTTAATGGAAGTATTGTCATTTTAAAACTTGATACACATACCTAAAAAAAGTTTTTTAAAAAGTTATTAAATCTTGAAAAACAAAACAATCAAACAAACAAAAATTTTTGAAGCCTGTGCTGGTATAAGCAGGACCATTGTCTGTCTTTATCTTAGCTGGTTTTTCCAAGGCAGAAAAATCAAGAATCTGGTGAGAAAGAACATCCTTTGTTGCTTCCCCAGCATGAGGAGAGGCGAAGATAAAGTCACTAAAGGTATCTATAGAGACATGGATAAATTTTTGTCTGCCAAATTCAGGGCAATGAGTAACATCCGTCTGACAAATTTGGTTGGGAAGGAGGCCTCGAGGGTTGACTCCCAAGTGTGGGGCAGGGTGAGAAACAACACAAGAGGGACATTGTTTGACAATTTCTCGGGCCTGTTGTTTAGAGATCTTAAAAAGAAGACGGAGGGTCTGAGAATTTAAATGGTGGATCTTATGGGCAGCTTGGGCCTGTAGGACTGGGCCGACCATGACAGAGAAAATTAACCTGGTGGCAGCATCGGCCTGTGCATTGCCATCCGTTAACAGTCCAGGAAGATCACTATGGGCTCTAATGTGGCCTATAAAAAATGGGTGTTGGCGAGTCAGGACAAGCTGTTGAATCTGGGAGAAAAGTGGGGTGGCATTGGAGGTAGGCCTTATGGCTGGAGAGGTTTCTAACAAGGGGATTGAAAAGGTAATATAGGCACTATCTGTATAGATATTAATAGGTTGATCAGAATTGTCTGAAAAACCTTTAAAATTGCTGAAAGTTCAACCAACTGTATTGACCGGAAAGGCGTTAGGAAGGAGGTAGGGCGGCCTTGGGCCACGAAGGCTGCAACACCATTAGCGGAACCATCAGTAAAGACTGTAAGTGCACGAGACATGGGACCAGTCATCTGCATAAGGTGGGGCAAGCTAATAAGATGTTTGTATAGGATATTTACAGAGTTAGAGGGTCAAGGGCTCTGACTCAATGACCTGTTGCTAGGCAACGTGACTGTAAGATGATCTGGTTCCCTGTCTTATTGGGGGCTCTGTATTTTTCCACTAACTAGAGATTCTGTCCTTGTCCCTGACACCCGGCTGCATGGTACAGAAAATCCAATCAGGTGGAGTGGTCAGGAGGCAGTAACATCAAGGGCAGTGGTCCATTGATGAGGAAGGGGGACCCACCTGGAAGCCTAACTGCTTAAGGGGGTCATGGCTAACAGAACACAAAAATCCTAAATAGAGATAGATGGTTAGCCAACCCAGATGTGGCTGGATTTTAATAATTAAAAACAGAGCAGATGATCAAGAAGCTGAGAGCTGCTGTCCCATGAAAACCCCAGGCTCCTGTGTCCATTTTTCAAACTGAACCATTGGGGCTAGAGAGGTGGTGCAGTGGTTAAGGACACTTGTTCCTCTTGCAGAGGATCCAGGTTTGATTCTTACCAACCACACATGGTGGTTCACCACTGCCTGTAACTCCAGTTCCAGGGGACCAAATGTCCTCTTTTGACCTCTCCGGTCACTGGGCATATATGTAGTACACATACATGCATGCAGTCAAAACACTCATATACATAAATATAAAAAAAATAAAACTGAGCCACCTCAAAGACAGACGAAGATTGTGTTCCTAGGAGGACTGATCAAATCCCAACAAGAAGGACCATTCAGTCCAGCAGCAAGTGCAATCATTCTTTTTGTATTGTTTAATTTCTGTTGTATCACTCAGACACGAACCCCTGGATGTTACTGTGAATGTCTAGTGTGGTGATTTGAATGAGCCTGTCCTCTATTGTTTGGATAGGTTTAGGAGATAAAGACTTGGTGAATGATGTATGTCACTGGGGGAGTGCCTTTAAAATCCATTCCCATTTCTTCATCTCTGGACCTTCCCTGCGGTTTAAGCTGTGGGCTCTCACTTGGTCACGGTATCACAGTACTCTCATCCCAGCACCTGAGGGACAGAGGAAGGTGGATCTTTATGAGTCTGAGGCCATCTTGTTCTACATAGTGAGTTCTAGGACAGCCAGAACTATATAGCAAGACCTTGTCTGAAAAACCCAAACCAAACCATACCAGACCAAAGCAAACTAAAAATATGTAGGCTCTGAGGTTGCTGCTCCAGTCACCATGTATGCCTGCTGCCATGCTTCTCTGTGAGGTGATGGACACTTGTTCCTCTGAGATTATAAGCTTTCTCAAACCCTTCCTTCTGTATGTTACTGTGGCCTTGGTGTTTAATCACAGTAACAGAAAAGTAACTAATACCACTACTATATAAATACTGAAGTATTCACAGGAGTGAGTGTCTCTGTTACACCTGCTCATCTCTGCACCTGTAGCTAAAAGCAGAGACAATACATCCATGAAGAGCATGGCTGGACGTGCCCCTAGTGCCCTGTGACTCAGGACAATCTGCCAGCCTGAGGGGTCAGTTCTAGAAAATGGCCTTGAGGGAGTACATGGCAGTTTCTAACAGGAGAACCTTGCTTGGGCAGGAGCTAGGCTGACCAACCTGCAGCAGGGAAAATACACTCCATTTCATGGCAGGGTACTGGGCTCCGGTAGAGAGTCACCTGTGATCCTGGGCTATCAGAAGGCCCATCATGACTCAGTCAGATATCATGAGGTAAACTCTTTCCCAGTAGGTGATTAGGAGGACAGGTCACAGTCAGACAAGATGTCCAGAAGTGAGACATTGCTTCAGGGACATGACAAGCCACTGTGTGTTGAGAGCTGCCTACCAGGGAGAGACAAGAACTCTTGTCTGACAGAACATCTCCTGTCCCCAGATGGTTGTGGAGATCTTACCTCATCTAGAGGAGGTGACTGAGGTTAGTTCTCAAGTAAGCTGCTACCTCTCCCTCAGCAAGCTCCTCAGGCTTCCAGGAGTGTCCTCTATGGCCATGGGATCCAAGGAATCCACTGGACAGCAGTGGAGAGATCAAGATGCCCTAAAGCCAGGACCTCCTCCTGTCATTTCCAGCTGACCCAGAAGTCACAGGCAGCACAGAACCCACTGCTGACCGGGAAACAGGCAGCTTTGGCATACATTTGAAATCACCTTGTGGGGATGGGTACCAAGACTGGTCCCCTAATGGACAGAGGGCAAATCTGCTGTCCCATTCACCAGCTTGTTGCATTCTGCATCTGTTGTGGTGAATGCAGAACCAAGTATTTGATGCAGGACAGATATAGTGAGACTAGCCAGGTGAAGAATATTTAGTGCCTGCCATTTGCAGAAAAATCAACCTCCCTCCTTCCTAAATGAACACCAGTATCTGATGCCATCTCCCCAGGAGGTAGACTCTATGGGTTTGGGAGCAAGGGCAGAAGCTTTCAAGGCCCCAACCCATGACGATCTCCAGAGTCCTCCATAGTGGACAAGATATGCTAGCACATGATGAGCTGAGGTGTCTTCAACCATGAGCACAGATTGCCACCTAGTGGAAGAGAAGGTAAAATTAAGGATGGAAAATTGGTAAGAGCTGAGCAGGCTGGTAGGTTGATGATGGGGATTGGAGCTGAGCTTGGTTGGACAAATCTGTGATCCTGGTTCTTGAAAGACCAAGGGAAAGAAGGAATTACTGCAGATTCTATAGTGTATGAAATCCTGCCTTAAAACAAAACAACAGAAATACGGGGGGGGGGGGGGGGGGGGGGGGGGGAGGGGACACAAGGACGGATGGACGGTCGAACAGGTGTGGTTGTGGCTGCCTTGTCCCTGGACTCTTCTGTTGTCATCTTCTGTAGCATACCTTTGGAATGTGGAAAAGCAAGTTCAAGGGCAAAGAGGTCCCAGGATGGTGGAGGGCTTGTGAGGAATCTCAGGGAAGGGAAGGCAGTCTTCAGAGCACAGCAAGCCTTAGGTCCAGGGGAGCTGTCTGAGACCTCCTCCTGGAGGAGTTCGCACTAGTGACTGGGTTTAGACTTCAGCTGATCCCAGTGGTGCTGAGGGCGTCACTAGCTACCCCCTCTGCTACCCTGCCCTCCTCATTCACACAGCCCCTTCCTGGCCCTCCCATGGTGACTTTACCCTAACTTTGTCAATGCACTGAAGAGAATCAGGGAGGGACGCCATGAGGACCAGGGTGACCGGACTTAAGTCCTGGTGATAGTGAAAAGAAGCCCAGGAGCTTCTGTGAGGAGACTGCGACCTTCCTGACTCAGTAGTCCAGTGTCTCCCTTCCCCAGTTAAATCCCTGAACTCACAGGCGGGCAGCATGGACTCCAGGCGGTTCATTAGAACGAAAAGGCTCAGATTCTGGGAAAGATCGTGCCTGGTGGCTGCAGCCTTTGGCATGGTTCCTTCCTGAGACCTGGCTACCCACAGGTGTACTGGAGCTGTGGAGAGAATCAGGGAGTCCTCAGTACAGCCCCACATGATGTGTGCAGAGATTCACCAAGTCCTGGACACCTGGGCTGTGAATTCAGTCCTCTCTGTGCTCCAGCCTTGCGGGTTCCTAGTTCCCATCTTTTCCTCTATCTCTCCCAGGGTCCTTCATGGACCCGTGGCTCTGATCCTCCCTCCCTGTGGACCGCAGTCCCCATCGCGCTGAGGTATTTGTGGAGGGTGTGATGTGAACTGAGAGATGAAGGCCCTGGGGTACCACATCTCCGCTGTCTGTGCACCTCATTCACTGGCAGCTGCCCCTCAGGGTCCCTCTGTAACAGAATCAGGAACCATAGAGACAGAATAAAGTCGGTGTCTTCAGCAGGTGTCTTGGCAGACTGCATCAAATATCAGCATACTCTAAAAAGGGCCATGTTAATGCTCTCTACTCAGGGAAGACTGGACCCCGAGGAGAGGACAGACACACAGGACCATGGTGTCACCCGGGAATAGCATGAGCATTACTTCCGTGCTCCTGCCCTTCAGAGGTGGGTCAATCAGAAAGAAAGAAGCTCAAAGTCCTTTTCTTTTTC